TCGAATGAAGATTCAGCAATATAATAAGTTGAAAGTTTACAAATAACAAAATATGAAACAATACATGTAAGTGTTGGTTTACATATGCATACTATGCATAAATACACTGTATTGTATAAATAACAAAATAAAAGAAATAAAGATCGTGATTCAAAACACCCCGCCCGTGTGAATTCATACTTTGAAGTATATTGTGATTTTCTTGTTAGCATTTTTGTAGCCCCCGCTAACTCATTTTTAGTTAAAAGTCTGGATAAGTTAACGGGAGTGTTTTTTATACTTGTTATAATGCCGATGGTTTTGAACTCGAATATTATTCCTCATCTCGTTAAAAAACATATTTACTTTTGTCATCTCTTCATTAAACCTTGATGTTTTTCCAAAAATTTTGTTTTAAAAATTAATTTTTATCTCCCAAAAAATTTTTTCCCATCGCTTTTGCAGCTCAAATAACCGGATTTTTTATTATTTTTGAACATCATCTCACTATATATTCATCAGCGAATTTTTATCAACAACCCTTCTTAAAAATTTCTTCTCGATGTTTCCATCATCTTTCCATCTCATCATAGTCAGGTTTTTTATGTTTTCAACTCGGTTCCCGCCCCTTTCATTTGTATATTCATCTAAAATAAAAATCTTATTAAACTCATTATCAGCCAAGTTATTGCGTATTCCATCCAAATTTTTGTTCGTTCAAAACATCTCTGGGTGTAGTCTTTGGGTTTTCATAGAATTTTTTAAATTATTTCTTTTTTCAGCTATTTTTTGTTATTGTTTTTTATGAATTTCGTATACAGTACTTTTCATACGGCTTAAAGGGAAATAACGTATCGCCTCCCCTCTTCATCACATTAACAGCATGTAGTTTCAAAAATGCTTTCTCAGATTTAATTTCATAGTATGAAAATGTGAATTGTTTTTACTTTAAATTTATGCCCCACAAAGGGGAGAATAGGTTGCACTTGTCCGTCCGTCCGTCTGTCCGTACGTCCCGAAATCTTGTGAACGCAACTCCTCTAAAACAGGATGGCAGATTTTGCTTAAACTTCTAGGGATGAACAACCTTAATGTGTAGATGGTTGTAAAGGAAGGAATTTTTGGTGCAACCAAATTTAACAGAATTATGGCCCTTTGTTGATTTTTTTCACTATATAATATGTAGACATTTTGTGAACGCAACTCCTCTTAAACCGGATGGCAGATTTTGCTTAAACTTCCAGGGATGAACAACCTTAATGTGTAGATGGTAGTTAAGGAAGGAATTTCTGCTGCGACCAACTTTAAAAGAATGATGGCCCTTTGTTGATTTTTTCACTATATACTATGTAGAAATTTTGTGAACGCAACTCCTCTTAAACCGGATGGCAGATTTTGCTTAAACTTCCAGGGATGAATAACCTTAATGTGTAGGTGGTAGTAAAGAAAGGGATTTCTGCTGCGACCAAATTTAACAGAATTATGGCCCTTTGTTGATTTTTAGTTTTCCACTTGTGGCACATGTAGTCCAAAAAATATTTGACCTAAAGTCATAAGATTGACAGAACAGTGGCGTGTGGGGGCATCCGTGTCCTATGGACACATTTCTAGTTTTGATCTGCATCCAGTGCATTTGGCTGCACTGTATTTATGTGTAAGACACAAATGCCTTACTAAATTACTTCTCCAAGAGAACTTTGAAGAGCACATTTACTCATCGCGACTCCATTTTTTGTTTCCGATATTTTTTTCAAGTGAATGCCTTTTTAAATTCCTTTTATAAGCATACTCCTGGTTGCACATGTCACACTTGAAAGGCATTTTTACGTATGAGGAAACTAATAAAAAGAGTCAATCAAAAACGTTATCACTATGTAATAGTGTTTAATGCAGTATTAAAACTTTAATAATGATGATTTTTAATCGGCTATTCACACTTTCCTCGTGATTATTTCCCGCCACAGTCGTAATCACTATCTGAAACATTTTGGGCGAAATTCACGTGATAGTCGTGACCAACTATTTCGTTTGTTCCTCGCAGTTTTGGCGGAAAAAAATATTTATTTACTCCAGACTTGCTTGGCGGGACAATATGTTTGCTTTAAACTTAAACAAATATTTGCTACTCAATCATATAATACACTGATTTATTAACACAAAGTTATGCTTTAACAATAAACCTATAATACACATTATTTATATATCTTACATTGATTAGAAATACCAATGTTGATTTTAATCGTAATTTGTAATGTATTACTCAATTGTCTGTAATAAATAGTAATCATATCATTTTTTAACAACAATAAATGTTCCCTCTAGGACTTAATGCTGCTTAACGTGAAAGACGTTTTGTTTCTGACGTTTTCTGTTGATTAGAATTTTCATAACTTTTATTCGGTCTTTCTGCCTTTTGATTTCTTTCATCAGACTGGCATTCGACTAGATAGAGCAGATTTATAGGTCTACCAAGTACTTTTCCGGACGGTAATGTCACTTTCGCCGAACGTTCATATCGATCCCGACTTTTAACAAGCTCTATTCTCCAACAACCTCTAGGAAGATTATCCTTATTAATAAGAACAACATCGCCTTCTTTCGCTTTGAATGATGATGTTGTTTCCCTGTTTTAATGCAAATTGCATACGTTCACGAAAACTCAAGTAATCTTCTCTCCACATTTTCCAAAATGAATTTAACATATTTTGGCCACGTATGTTTTCATATAGAATGTAGTCAACTTCCCTTTCGTTGTCGCGCATTTCTGGAATTTCTGTAAACGGATTGAGCGGCATACAGTAACTTGGTGTTAACGCTATACTAGAATTTATATCATCGCCTACGTAGACAAGAGGTCGGGAGTTTACTGCTGCTTCGACTTCTTTCTTAAACTGTATTAATGTTAACAACTATCTTTAAATACGTTTCCTAAAACATCTTTTTACAATGCCTACAAGTCGCTCGTAAAAACCACCCATCCAAGTTGCAAGTTCAACATGAAACGAACACTAAATAGTCCTACTTGCAACCTATGTTTGAACTTCTTCAGCGCATACAACATTGTTCAAAAGTCTGTTCATTGCAGTCGATGCTGATGCATTACTTGGATAGGCGTGCCTCTCTGTGATATAAATCTTCTAAAGCACAACATAAATTCTTCACTTGACATATTTTGACCTTTAAATGAATCGCTCAAATCACAAGACACGTGAATATACAAATCCACATTACTTTGTTTCACCATTATGTGTTATGTAAAATTGTCCAAGGAATTGTCCAAGGAAGTCTAATCCAGTATAAGTGAATGGACTGGACTCACATACTCTCATTTTTGGTATCGATGGCATATTAGGCATTTATATGGACCCCCTTAAACCTTTTGACAAATTGTACATGTACTGATAACTGATCTAACCATAGCTCGTCCCTTCGGAATCAAAATTTAACTAGCCTTGACACAAACTCCAGACATCTAACACCTATAAATACTGTCATTAGTTCCAAATGAGGTATGGTCATGCATTTTATTGGAGTGAACGTGTTTTGGAAAACATCCGATCAACTTTTGTCAGTCCTTTACTTTCCTGACGGAAGTATTCAACTGCGGAGTAGAATTTCGATGACGCGTCACAAAAAAAAATAACAAATGGTATACAATATGTTCATCTGTGTGACTCTCAGCTAGACATCTGGTTAGTGTGTATTCTGTTAATTTGTATAAATCAAGCTGTAGAGAAGTCCATGACAACTTTCTTTCAGTTTCTTCCACGGGCTCGTCCCAATCAAGATTTCTGCTCCACAAATCTTGGAGTAGAAGCTTTCCCCTCAAAATGATTAGTGGAAAGAGGCCCAAAAGGTCAAACACTGATGCTTTCACTTTTAGTATACTTCGCTTCGAAATCTCTGTGTAAGTGTTTAAAACTTTAATATGATTTACAGCTATTGTATCATTTTTTCGTGTTCGAAATATGTTCTAAAACCTGATAACACTTTGCACTGCTCTGTCTTTTCTTGGAATAATTTTATTGACTATGTCATGATTTGAAAGCCATTCTCTTAAATTCATTGAAGCATTGGTAAACATTTTTTATGCTTCTGTGCATTCCTTATACAACAGTTTTGCTTCACTATCGTTCTCAGACCCAGTAATTACATTATCAACTTAGATGTCTTTTTAAGTTTACGTGGTACATCACTTGTATATGAATCAAGATGTGTCTCAACGGTTGCACCTAGAAGAAACGGACTCGAGATAACTCCATAGCGGAGGAAACGAAATCTATACCCTTGTTTATTGCTTTGAGAAGTTGACTGATTTATTGTATCCTTCAACCATAAAAAATCGCTTAACGTCTCTGTGATTTAATTGTAAACCAACCTGTACGAAAGCTTACTCAATGTCTGAAATTAAGGCAACCAAGGTAAGTTGGTGGTGCCTGAACAGACGGACACCTCAGGTCTACCTTAACCACTTAAGCTGGAACTCTCCATAACAATGTTGGTGCGATACAAACCCCAATAAAGTACCAACGTTTAATAACTTATATTTGGCCAAGTATAACATTTAACATTAAATTTTACAATTAGCTGGAAATAGTATTTGGGTTAACACTGCACTTAAAATCAACTTAGTTACTCACAATTTACCATATTTTGGTTAGAAATGGGTTAAACCAAAGAGTAATTTATCTGACTGAAACACGAGGATACGCAGTACGTGGTAAAAAGCTCAATTTACCTGGACTTTTATGAACTATTTAAATGCTTCTGTCTACATTGCACAAACAGAGCTACTCTTATTTTAATTGTAGGATGTCAGTCACTCAAGTTCTGTCATACAAGCGAAATCAAATCCAATGAATGCATTATTAAGGGTGTAACGGTTTACCGGTATACCGACATATTGCAATAATTATGAAAAAATAAATTTCGTACCGCGGTACGATTTTCGGAAAACCGGTATTTTATTAAAATCATAGTTTTCAATTAATTGCCTTCTAATTTCATATACATTGTAATACATACAGAAATTCAATTAAATAGCCGTGAATTTGCATCAAAACTCTTTCTTGCGCTAGTAGCAGATACCGGAAGTATTCAGCATACGTTATATGTCGTATCATTTATTTACGCGGTACCAGTACCGATATTAAGAGCCCGCAGAAAAAAAACCCGGAAAGGTACGGTTATCCAGCATTTAGCAAACTTTGCAATCGTCTTATTTATTAAGATCACGGTATCGGCTGCAAAAATGGACGACTCCTTTGACCTTGTTAAAAATACGAAAGGAAAAAGTGCTGTTTGGCAGCATTTTTCCTTAAAAAGGAAACGAGAATCAAATGAAATAATTGAAAACATTGGTGTATGCTGCCATTGTAAAATGGACGTGAAATGTGGGGGTGGCACCACTAATTTACAGACACACTTAGAGAGACACCACAAAATCATGAAACCGACTTCTTCTTAAGGTCAGATATTATCAAACATTTCTAAACAGCCAACTGTTATGAAAATGTTTAAGAAAGCTGAGCAGTACAAGCCTTCATCCCAGAGAGCTATGGCTATCACAAATAAAATAAACTCATTTATTATCAAAGATTTACGGCCATTCAGTGTAGTTGAAGACGTAGGGTTCAAAGAACTGGTGCAGGCTCTACATCCAAAATATTGTCTTCCAAGCAGGCCCTATTTTTCACAGACACATGTCCCTGCAATATATGAAAAGGTTAAATCTGATGTTAAATCGAATTTGTTACAAGCCTCCATGGTAGCTTTGACAACTGACGGTTGGACTAGCAGAGCAACTGAATCATATGTCACTATAACTTCAAGCCACATTACAGATGACTGGATAATAAAGAATTATGTCCTGCAAACTAGGGCCATGCCAGTCAGTCACACTGGTGCTAACAATGCAGCAGTCATTAGGGATGCTATTGAAGAGTGGGGTTTGCCATTAAACCCACCTTTAGTGACAGACAATGCTTCAAATATGTGTGTTGCAGCAAGAGAACTTGATTCCCGTCCACATCTTGGATGTTACGCTCATACATTGAACATAGCTGTTCAAAAGGGTCTTAAGACAAATAGTGTATCACGTTTGTTGGGAAGAATAAGACGCATTGTTGCATTCTTCCATCGCAGTACAACAGCTGCAGCTTTACTTCACGAGAAAGCTCAACTCTTGAATCTTAGAGATGTAAAGTTAATCCAAGATGTTTGCACTAGATGGAACTCGGCGGTTGATATGATTGAAAGGTTCCTGGAACTACAGCCTGCAGTTTATGCTGCTCTTATGTGCAAGGACATTAGAAAGCATGCTACAGATATATCTACACTTAGTGAAGACGACATTACTTTAGCTGAAAGTATCATGTCAGTGCTTGTGCCAGTGAAAAAAGTGAGCACGGCTTTGTGCACTGAAACCCTGCCCACAGCATCACTTATTCTGCCGTTCCAGAAATTGATTCTTGATAAAATCCTCCAAGTGCATGATAGTGATGCTCCTGCCATAAGTCAAATGAAATCAACCATGTCTGACGATCTACGTCCGAGGTATATAAACATACTTAAAACAACAATAAGTTTAAAACAACTATAATTTATAAATAATAACTATGATAATATTGCAGATAAATAATAAATCAATAATATTGATAAATAAATTGTATATTGCACATACCCAGATATTGAGCAATAAGCACTGTATGATAATCAAATTTATATTGCACATGGAACATAACAAAGACAAAATCAAATCACGGTTTCATTATACATGTATGAAAATGGTTTTATGGTAAGTCTAAAATATACAACACTTCAATATTTCAGGTATAATGAGCTGACGGAATACTTGCAGGAAACCAGCCTACTTGATCCTCGGTTCAAGGTATCCTACCTAAACGATGAAGATGCTGTCGCTGTCTCAGGTCGAGTGGTTATTGAGGCTGCCTCCAAATGTGTGTCAATTAAGTCTGAGCCTGTGGAACAGTCTAACAAGCAAGAACCTCATCCGGCTGAGCCCACCTTACCAGGTCCATCTCAGATAGAGAAAGGTATAAGCAGGAACACCATTTATCAGTTTATCACTACTTATTTATTTTAACTACATGTATATCTTTTTATTTTCTTATATTTGATGAATATAACAACTGTTTAATGTTTCTACTAGGAAGGTAAATGACATTCAAAACTCAATATTTATTCAAATATATTTAGTATTTCAGAGAATAACTTCAGGTACATATTCAATTGATGTTTTTGAATTGCAGATGACCATGTTAAAACAGAAGTTACTACTACTTGTACTAGCCAGTCGTCTTCTTCAGATCTTGCTTCGATTTTAGATGATGTCATTATTGTTAAAGCTGTTAAAGGGGAAAAGTCATTGGTTGACCAAGTAAAAGAAGAAATTGACAAGTACATGGGAATAGACCTTTTAGATTTGAACTCAGACCCACTTTCATGGTGGAAAAATAATAAGTGGTTCTTTCCTCATCTGGCTGCATTAGCACAGAAACGTCTTTGTGTGCCAGCTACCAGTGTCCCTTCTGAAAGGGTATTCAGCACTGCTGGCGACATACTGTCTGCACAGAGGGCTGCGTTAAGTGCTGAAAATGTGGACATGTTGATCTTCCTTAAGAAAAACATGCCATGAAATGATTAATTGTGTCCATGTGTGCCAATTCATGGGAGATTTTCTGAAGGACTAGTTAACTGTTAATGTGTTATAGTTTCCAGTTTTACAGTTTCAGGACATACAATATTCAATAATGAATTGAAATAAAGTTCCTAGATTATTTTCTATTTAGTCCTTATATTTTTATAAGTTTCTACTAAGAATACATATATACATATAATAATAATATACAAAGTCACACCATCTTTTCATCAAAATACATTGTATATACACAACAATACGTATTGCAATATATTGCAATACGCTTCTGCAAAATGGCAATATATTGCAATACGGTTTTTGCCGTATTGTTACACCCCTATGCATTATGCATTATTGTGCAGCAATAATCAAATAAGAGCTGTTAGTTTATGTATTGTCTTTATGTGAACATAAAAAAATATATGGAATAAGTCAGTACTAAATAGTTTTGAAAAAAAATGTTTTGTTTAATTATATATACATATATGTAAATATATATTCATAATGAATGTAATCAAAGAAACAAAGCAATGGCCTTACTCAGGGCGGTACTTTTTATTGGAAAGGAAACCAATCAATGAGAAGGAGACGTTTGTTTAATAGCAACTTTGTCCATCAATCATTCTTATACATCAGAAATGAATTTAGAAAAAGGCAAGAAAAACAAAACACATCACATAAATGAAGCCAATTATATCTTTTATGAAATGTGAAACTTGTTTAATATTTGTAACCTCAACGAGTTCATAACCTCCTGAAAATAGATCTTTCAACTCCTGCCAATATATCTTTATAATTTGTACAAAACAAGAGAGTGATTGACTACGAAGATATTTATCGTTGAAGGTATAAAAAATAAAACCTTATAGGCCGTTTATTGAAATTGTTCCGCGATGATCGGTAAAACTATCAATTAAAAATTAGAAGCTAGTATGCAAACAATTCTGGACAATCGTAACAACTTAAAAGTTTTGCGCTAGATGGGTCTCTCATATTCTTACTGACGATCCTCTGGGACAATGCCTTATATGCGCCCGGTGACTCCTTTATAAAACATAAGGTTGTAGAATAGTCGGCAAATTACTTATATAACAAGTGGCAATAGGAGTAAAATAAAATAGATTAAATCCGAGTAAATATAAATCAAGTTCATTCCAAGAGAGGTAATACAGTCTATCTGGAAAAAATTCTTACTCTATTCTTTAAATTTCGAGAATTCTTTTCTTTTGCTGGACCGTGTGGGTGTAGCGTTCGTTGAACGCCACCTTTCCTTGTTGATCTTCTTTATCATATTCTAAATATGATCCAATTCAAATATAAATTCCTACAGACCATCTGTTTTGTTTAAATTTTGTGTGTGGGTGTTTTGGTTGTTGTTTTTATTTATTTATATATTCACTTTTTTGGGGTGAGGATTTTTTTTTACACATTTATTGACGATTACTTATCACGTTGGTGATCAAATTGTCTATCGTAAAGTTCCTAGTACATGCAATGTAATAATAAAGAATAGAAAACAGTGCACAGACAATCTGGGTGATTTGAGCTTTATATACACGGAGCTTGTGGTAGTTGTACCAATGACGTATCTGTTGTAAATAAAACTGGCGAACACAATTGCAGCGTGTTTATATTTAAATATTTTATTCCGTCGTTTACCTTATAATATATCTTCATTTCCTAGTATGCAATCTTACTGATCAAAATGTTTATGTTCATTACAATCATTTTGCTGATTAGACTAGCACTATGCTCCGTTTCCTTCTATTAGCAAAACAAAACTGGAATTCAGTGCGGTAAATGTTCGTTTTTACTGATTTACTGGACATTGCTGATTATATCTTACATATTAATAGACAGCCACAATTCTTAATGTATGCGTACGATAAGAAAAACTATGGAGAAGATTTTTTAACTCGAATATTTGTTATTTTACACATAAACAAATTCAAATCGATTTTCAATTTATAAGTTTGTTCGTGCAATGCTCTGTTTTATTATGCTATGCTTACAAGTAATTGATCAGTACATGGTAATAGAAATCAGATATGTCTTTATTCAAAACTATATTTAATATTCTCAATATTATATTTCAAAGGGTATCAAGCTATATCACAAGAAATTTTTCCATAAGAAGTATAAATTGTAAAATTATATTATTTCAACAGTTTTATGTTTGATTCTGGAAAGAGTTATAACAGAGATTATCTATTTTGAAATTAACATACATGAGTGTTGCACATAAAGTAATTAAATACTATTTTGCTTAATTGTACAGTAATAGCAATAATCTCGTACATGCGCTTCCCGCTTTAATGTGACAAATAAGCATATTTCATTCGTGCAGGTATTTTAGAATAAGTCCTTTTCATAATAAAAACAAAACAAAACAACATTTGTGTGGCAAACTTGCTTTATATATTTAAATGATTTAGCAGTAATGTTTTTTAATTTACTCATATTAAAAAGTAATGAGTTTAAAAATGAAATGGAGAAACAAATGCATGTTCAAGGTCGTCTCTGGAATATCATTGAAATGTTTCAACAGATCATTTCTTCTGAGTAAAACAATTGAATTATTCGTTATTTCTAAGTTCAAAGTAATTATTGTTTCTGAACAAAGCTAAGATATGTCAAATTCTCCCAAATAGTTTAGATACAGCAGGACTTACGTGGTCCTGTTTTCATTATGACATGAGCAATTTGGAGGGTTCCTATTTGGTTGATAAACTTTGTCCTTTCAATACATATGTCATTCGAAATATTGTTTTTTCTTTCGCTTTAAAATGAATAGGTCTTTCATGCTAGTTTATCACCTAACAAATCACCTACAATGTTCTTTGAATAGACATATTCATTAATTTATCTGCCATATCACATGTGACCGTTCAATGACTTGGAAAAATAAGCCTCATTGTTCAGCAAACCTGAGCTTTGATTACTATGGGTTTTGTTTAAATAAACAGCTTCATTAATTCTTCTACCACAAATAATTTGACCGTCGAATGACTTGAAAAATTAGCCTCATCATTTTAACTGCGTCAAACAAACTGAAAATTAGAAAAACAGATAATGAAAAAAATATGAATTATATTTGTTCATCAATGTACAAAAAATAGAAATTTAAAACATAATTTATAATATAAAATGGATTTGATATGATATAGTACCATACTATGTTATAGACTTGTACATAATACAAATTGACTCTACACTTCACATACAGATTCGCATTACTATTCGTTCTTTTAACTTTCATTTACTTCAAATTCAAAATAAACATTCAATATTAGTACCTTCATTACTAATTGTTCTTTGTTACACTCACATCATGTATGACATCGTTATCTCCTTTTTTAAAAATTTTGCTTTAAAAATGTTATGTTTTGATAATAGGGATGTTTAAAAAATGACTTTAGAGTGTACTTCAGTCAGTCTGTCTGTCTCTCCGTACATAAAAACTGTTCACTGTGATCACTTAAAATAGAAACATAAGTGAATGGCCAATGGCCCTTCAGAATGTTGCTTGGGCTCTTAAATACCGGTAGGGGACTTATGGATTGCTTGCAATACTATGATAATTGCTTGTTTAAAAATATTTTATAATTAAGAATATGCATTTTATTGTGTGTGTATTATATAACATTTTACATTACCTTATTTTTTATTACGAGTTCCTGAACCTCTATTTTAATAGCCCGCATACTTTTTGATTAGCATAAAATTCACCGGCTTTTCTGAACTTCGTTTTTTCGGGGGTATAATAGTTGACATGTGTCTTACACAGTATAAAAGTCTTATGAGTTATCTTATTGAATACCTTAGTTGTTGTTGAGAAATATTTGTGCACTGAATCCTTAAGTAGACATTTCTCAAGTTAACATAAACCTTTACTTCTATCAACTACAAAATGTGTAACACAACGCTTGCCTCTGAATGCCGCCAAAGTATAACATGTGAATAATACTCAGTTCCGAATTTGTTTTCACAAACCATTTTCTTTTTATTCTAAATTCCAGACCCTGAATCTATTCAATGTTATCACAAGCAATTGCTATACAAAGTTCAGTGTTAAACTTTAGCACATTGCATATTTGTAGCCGAAATAATGATTACAATGGTTGGGTACTACATCATCGTGTTCCTGCTGAATGCTGCCACTCAGACCATTTTTGCAGAAAATATGTCGTATCGAGTTTAATTACGATTTTATCCAAAAAAAAGTATAAAAAAATAATAATGCAGCTACCAAAGAATGGCCTTAGTCCTCCTTGAGATAATTATAAAATAAAAAACGTTTATAGATTTATTATCTGGCAGGGAGGTCAAGCAATTTTTTAAATGTATAATTCAAAATTCTTAAAATGGGTAGACACTTAAACAAACAGAAAAAACTTTATATTTGAGGTAGTTTGATTTGATGACATTTTGAAATCCGATAACTAGGTTGATTCTTCAGAGTATTGATGATATGCACCGTTTTAAAATAAAATACCACTTCTTTACTACAATCAAGAACTCCATCCATTTTAAAAAGGGATTATCCACAGATTCCCAATTAAAAATGCCATTTTCAGCTATTTTAGTTGATTTTTTAAGAAGTATTTTAAGGGAAAAACAACAAAAAGTACATCTGAAAATATATTTAACACAAAATTTATTTCATTTTGTTATAAAAATACAAAATATTATCATAAATAGATCATGATTTGTTCCGCCAGCAGAACATTCAACTTCTTTCTGCCTGATAGCAAGAAAAAAACAAATGCTAAAATGTTCTGCCGGTGGAACATTAAATAAAAAATAAATTAAGGGCGGAACATAAGTATGAAAACATGTATCAAAACATACTAGGTCATAACCATAAGTGATTCTGTTCTGCCGGCGGACATTTATTTATTACAACATATCACAATTCTAAACAACCTTTGCAAGATTTTGTAACAAATGCATTTCTTAAAGTAAATATCAAACAAAAGAACTCATTGGAATTGTTCCGCCAGCAGAACAGAAATATGATTCCAGTCCATATAAAGTCAAAAATAAGATAGAATCATAAATACTCCTGTTCCGCCGCCGGAACATTTACTTATAAAAACATATCAAAAATCTTAACAACCTTTAAAGGTTTAATCAAAAATATAATTCAGAAAGAATATCATTTAATAACATTTATTTGAAATTGTTCTGCCGGCAGAACATAAGTTTGATAACATCAATTTAACATCATAAGTTTGAGAACA